TCTTGAGGGTTTTGTGTTTCTTCAAGAAAGAAGAAAACGTGAGGGTCCTGAGATGCAGGACTGCCCGTTTCTCCCCTCTCCCAGACCTCGGGAAGATGTAAGTGCTACTGCTGGTGACAATATTAAAAGCATGCCTCCAGGAAACAGGATGTGCAGATGCTAGCCCTGGGGCACTCTGTGCTCAAAGTTAAGTGGGTTTAGGGCAGTGATAGTGAGGTTCTGTGAGCAGTGAAGGCAGTTTTTTTGGCTTCGATAGAAATGGAGTTTGTGGCATTTGTGGATTCTTAACCCTGCATCGAGATTTTCTTTGGCAATTTTTTGGCAAAATCTCTGGCAAGATTTTCTCAGTCCTCTTGGCTAGGTGGACATGGATGTCCTCTGCCTGGTCAGTGAGATGGTAGGGGTCATACCCATCCTGCTCCAGTGGGGGCGTCAGAGTGCATGTGGTCTTACCATTACTACCACCAACGCCACCCTGTCTTCAGCCTCTTTCCTGGGTGGAGGGCCCCGTGCTCAGAGATCATGTGCTCTCCCAGGGGCTCTCTGCAACCCCCTTCTCCCTCAGCTGAGCGACCTCACTCCACCCCACCAGGTCCAAATGCCTGCGCCTTTGCACTGCAGCTGAGGCCACATTCATGGTCACTGCAGCCCCTGGGTGTCCAGCCCCTCCTTCTCTCCACTGCCCTCGTTCCCGAGGGTCCCCTCCCTCCCAGCCCCGCCACCTCCCCCTCTAAGTGCCATTCACTTCATCTGCTAAGGGAGGCTCCAGGAAAGCAGTTCTCAAAGCTGGTGCCTGGGAACCCTCAATCTGGGCTTCGGGTTCCCATGAGGCTCCTCCTCCCCTCTGGAGAGTTTACCATGAGGCTCCTCCTCCGCCTCCCTCCCCTCTCTCTCCCCTTCCTGCTCCTGCCTCTGAGCACAGACCTTGAGCTCTTTCTTCCCTAAGTTCTGGCTCCTTGGCCCCCACCCCCCAGTGCCCAGGAGGGGCTCAGCAAGTGGGATGTGAGCCTCTGTGATGGAGATCACAGAGATTGGAGGCTGGCAGAGGACTTCCTGTCACAAGACCCCCCCCTGGGTTTCCCCCAGAATGCCTCAGTATGGGGTGCTTTCCAGCAGAGCCACCGATAACCCCCTGAATCACCCATCGTTCATGTGCTCTGTAAGCGCTGATGGAGGACCCACCCCACTTCAGCCACCATCCAGGCACTGGGCTGTGGCAACAGTGAGGGCCCTGGCCGTCCTCCTGTGGTCCTCCTGGGGTTTCCCTTGAGTGTGTCTGGGTCCTAATCTCTCATCCTAAGTCTTATCTGATCAGGGCCACCTCTATGACCTGTAATCCTGGTGGCTCAGATGGTAAAGAATCTTCCTGCAATGCAGGGGACCTGAGTTTGATCCCTGGGTCAGGAAAATCCCCTGAAGGAGGAAATGGCAACCCACTCAACTATTCTTGCCTGGAAAATTCCATAGGCAGAGGAGCCTGGTGAGCTATAGTCCATGGGGTTGCAAAGAATCGGACATGACTGAAGCGACTAACACATGTAACCAGAACCACCTCCCAATACAACCACAAGTTCTGATACTCCGGGGGTTAGGGCTCCAACAGGTGAGTCTCAGGGACACAACTCGGCCCACAAAACCATCATTACAGAAGAGACGCGTTACATTCTTATTTATTTAAAATAAAAGCAGGTACATAAACACATGGATGGCCTTAGTCTTTTTCTCAGTTCCAGGAACCAAATCAGTAGCACAATAACTCATGTTTGCCTCCACTCATGTCTTACTTGTGTGATTTGTTAGAATAACAGTGACAGAGGCCAATGAGCTTTTACAAGTTTATTCCCGCTGACAGATTCGAGGGCGCCATCGGTGGGGACCTCCCGCAGTTGTCTGGACGGTTCTGGTCCATTACTCCCAGCAAATATGTTACAGCACTTGGACACACAAAGCTTTAAAAGTAACTCTGCTGTGTTTATCACACAAGTAAAGATAGGTTCACTGTTGAAGCTTCATCACGGTTCTGCTGACAAAGAGAAGGAAGCAAACGTCTTCCATGGTCCTGCTTTCTGAGGACCACCTTGTGCACGGCAGCTGGGACCCCTGGTGTGAACTGAAGCCTCTCTCTGCTGTCTGCTCTCAGCTGGCAATGAGCTGACACGTGAGCCACCAGATCACTGAGGCCATCCCCGTACCCCTTCCTTAAGCAGACCAGGACAGGAGCCTCCCTCGTATCCGGGGCCGGGCCCCCCTCAGGTGACTGGGATGCTATGGCAGTGGGTCTGCATGAGCCGGGGCCCTAGGTGGCCCTCTTCCAGGGCAGGGAGGCAGAGGATCAGGGTGCGCCCTCGAAGGCTGCCTCCGCCAGGGTGTGGCTGTCTGCCGCTTCCTCCATCAGGGCTTTGGACATGTACTCCCGAGCGAGGGCTGGGGGTCCACCCCTGACTTCCCTAAGCTCCATTTCTTGGCTTGTGCTCCAGCAGGGCCACCGCCCTGCCTCCCAGAGCTGGTGCAAAGCAGATGAGCTGAGGGTCTGTGCCCAGCCCCTACCCTGGGTCACAGATGTGTAATCACCAAGAACAAACAGATGGATCTGGGAGAATGAACTTCAGAGAATTCTCTGAGGTTGGCCCCGGGGCCTCCCAGCCGCCGTTCTGGTCTCATAGCAGAGGGTAGACCTCAGGGGTCCTTTCTCAGGGTAGAGTGATTCTGCCACCCAGAATTCTCTCTGTGTGGTTCAGTTCAGTTCAGTCACTTAGTCGTGTCCGACTCTTTGCGACTCCATGAACCACAGCACGCCAGGCCTCCCTGTCCATCACCAACTCCCGGAGTCCACCCAAACCCATGTCCACTGAGTCGGTAATGCCATCCAACCATCTCATCCTCTGTTGTCCCCTTCTCCTCCTGCCCTCAGTCTTTCCCAGCATCAGGGTCTTTTCCAATGAGTCAGCTCTTCACATCAGATGGCCAAAGGATTGGAGTTTCAGCTTCAGCATCAGTCCTTCCAATGAGCACCCAGGACTGATCTCCTTTAGGCTGGACTGGTTGGATCTCCTTGCAGTCCAAGGGACTCTCAAGAGTTCTCCAACACCACAGTTCAAAAGCATCAATTCTTCTGTGCTCAGCTTTCTTCACAGTCCAACTCTCACATCCATACGTGACCACTGGAAAAACCATGGCCTTGAATAGATGGACCTTTGTTGGCAAAGTAATGTGTTTGCTTTTTAACATGCTGTCTAGGTTGGTCATAACTTTCCTTCCAAGGAGTAAGCGTCCTTTAAGGCTTGCTGTCTAAATGGAGGGCTTCTCACCCACACATCATGTGTAGGGCGCGACCCAGGTCTTCAGAACCCACACGTTTCATCCTCGTGCTTCCCCACACTGAGAGGTTTGCCAGAAAACACGGCCCACGCGTGAAGGGCAGCCACGCCACCCGTGGGTTCCTGCCCTGTCCTGTCCCTCCCCTCACTCCAAGGCCAGCCCCCGGCCTCCTCTCTCTGAGCACAGATAAACCCTCCCCTACGGACGGACTTCCTGTTCCCAGACCTGCCTGGGCCAAGAGGGCACACAGTCCCAGCTCTCCAGGCCCTTCCCAGCAGTAGGGGCCTGGGAACTGCCTTGGGTCCCCCTGACCCAGGTGCTAAAGGGCAAAGGAGTCCCTCCAGAGCCGAAGGGCTGCGCGGGCTGTGGGGCAGAGGTGCACTGGGGGGGGGGGGGGGGGGCGGGGCGCGTGCGGTCTTCCTGTCCTGGGGGCCCAGGAGCTCCGTCTGAGAGGCCGGAGGCACTGGGGTGCATCCAAGGGGATACACCGAGGCAGCAGTGCCCACACTCCTAGCCTGGCCCTCCACATCCAGTCTGTGCTGGGCAAGTGCCCTTTCCAGGGTTTACTGGACTGAGGCCCTGCCTCTGGTGGCGCTGTAACCTGGAAGGCAGTGGACTGAGCCTGGCTCTGGCTCTGCTGACTCAGGACAACCAGCGTGGTGGAGCCAGCAGGGGACCCCCCCTTGAGATGCCTCCCCACGCCCCATAACCAGGGTGCTTACTAGTTTGGGGTGCAGGCTGGGAGGGGAGAGGACACAGTCACGTTCAGGGTCTCCACCCCCGGGGTCCTGTGGAGTCCGAGCTCTTGGTCACATCTCTGCCCCTCGTCCCGGGCTCCTCCCTGAGTCTGTCTTCTCTTGACTCCATTCAAAGGCGCCCACTGTTGGGTAGGGCTGTCCTGCTCCAGCCAGGAAGGTGGACCAGCCGGTGCTGCCGTCCTGGCCCGGGGGCCCCCTGCCTTCCATGGGAACAGCCACCCCTCTGACCCAGCAAGTTCCGTCAGGGACACTTCACAGACTTGCTCCCCATCAGCACAAGGAAAGGGAACAAGGCTCTTGGCAGCGCCCGGTGCAGGGGGGAGGCGTCCTGACCATCAGTCGGAGGGTAGCCTTGAGTGGGGCGGGCAGGGGTGTGGCAGGGGCTCACGGCGGGAGGAGCATGGAGGACACGTCGTCATGTCTCCCCCAGCTGCCTGCTACCCAGGAGCCAGGACAGATCGAGGATGGCGAGTGCCAGGCCACCCCCGGATGACCGCATATCGCGCTGGCAGCTGCACGCCAGGCAAGCGAGCTCACCACCACCCGGGTCCCAGAACCGCCTCTGGCCACTGCCTCTTGTCCCTCCACAGGTCCCAGCCTGTGACCCCGGAGGCCCGGCCAGTCTCCCTTCCCCCCGGCCCCTGAGAAGGACCTTCCTGTACCCAAGCTGTCCCCTCTCAAAGCCCAGCCCAACCCCTGCATGGCGTGGGCCCCGGGGCCAGTGAACAGCTGTCTGTGGGGCAAAGGTGGAGGAGGCAGCCAAGATCCCCAAATCAGTGCAGGTGGCCCTGGGGTGCAGGCCTGGAGGTTTGGGGGGTAGACCAGTCTCTCCCTCTCTCTCCCTACCCCCGTTCCCTCTCAGAGCCCAGCTGCCAGGTAAAATAATCCAGTCCACACCACTGAAGAGGTCACATGGCAGAGCACTCAGGCACCCAGCTGACGACCAGCAGGATGAGGCCAGCCCTCGTGGACGTGGACCTCCCAATGGTGGCACCCGGCGGACACCTTGACACCAGCCCCGTGGGGGGCCCGAGCTGGGACCACCCAGCCGAGCGGCTGCAGGATCCTGACCCTCAGAGACAGACAGGTCTTACAGCCTCTAAGTTTGGGTGATGTGTCACAGAGCAGGCCCTCGCCAGTCCCCTGCTGCTCGGACACAGCCTCCCCTGCCGTCACCTGCCGCCACCTCACGTATCCATCCAGCCCCACCGAGTACTGATCTGATTCCGACCAAACTGACAGCAATGAAGCGTCAACTCCAATTCTCAGGAGACACTACCTGGGCTTCTGAGCGGCCTGAGGCAATGTCATCAATTCAGTGTTAATGCCCATCAAGCCTTGTTTGATCCTCACGCTGTGGTTAGTCGCCCAGTCATGTCCAACTCTCTGCAACCCTGTGGACTGTAGCCTGCCAGGCTCCTCTGTCCATGGGGATTCTCCAGGCAAGAATACTGGAGTGGGTTGCCATCCCTCCTCCAGGCATCTTCCCGACCCAGGAATCAAACCGGGGTCTCCTGCGTTGCAGACAGATTCTTTACCAACTGAGCTACCAGGGAAGCAATAAGTGAAGCACAGAAAAACCCACACACCCATCTGAGTAAGAGATGCATTTTCAAAAAAACAAAAAATGCCTATTGTGGTTTTACATATTTTTCAAAAAGATAATTATAATATGTGCAGTTTTGTGCATTTTGTACTAAGGCTAACTTGAGGCAAAATCTAAAAGAAACTATTGAACACTGAGGGCCTGATGTTCACAGAACTCCATAGACGTTAGGTTCGATTGGCATTTGTTGCAGAGAAGTGTGATAGGATGGCCCACAGGAGCCTTTCCTAATAAAACTATGGGACCTCGGTCCATCGTAAGCATGGGCAGCAGAGCCTCCCTTCGAGAAACCGGGTCCCCGCCCCGTGTTGTCCTCTGGGTGTTGGGCAGACAAGCCTGCTCTCGGCCGTGCCTCACGCAGGCCCCGCTCTGCCAGGGCCTGGCCAGACCTGAGTTAGAGGCGGGCGGCACCTGCAGGTGAGGTTCCCGGTGCCCAGGGCAGGAGAGCAGCCCCAGGGGCATCACCTGGGTACTCGTTACAAAGGCAAATTCTCCGGCCTCACCCAGGCTCCAGGGCCCAGTCCTGATTCAACAAGCCCTCTGGGTGGTGCTGACACTGGGAGCAGCTGTGGGGAGGAGGAAGGAGGGGCCTGAGGCTGGAGGAGGAAGGCTGGGCCCTGAGCACCTGCAACAGGAAGGCCAAGGGCCCTCAGACCCTCAGTGCAGGAGGCGTGGACCCGGGCGACTGCGTGGCAGTAGGGGTCAGGGTGCCAGAACGTCGGCGGGGAGGACAGAAATGAGGCAGAGCCCCGGGTTCCCTGACAGCCCCGCCCAGAGGCCCTGCTGGGCACTGACTTCCCTTCTGGCAGCTGCATTGTGGCCAGACCTCAAAGCCCCACACTCCGCGGAGGCAGCCAGACCCCAGAACGGCGGCAAAGAGCAGATCCCTGGGTGCTAGCAGAGGGAGGGGAGGCGGTGACGGCTGGGGGGTGCGGGGTCATCTGTGCGGTCATGGGCGTGTTCTGGAACTGGGCAGAGGGGCTGGCGGCTTGATGATGTGAACGTGCTACATGCCACTGGACAGTCACTTTAAAACCAGTGATTTTATGTCATGTACTGCTGTTGCTAAGTCGCATCAGTTGTGGCCAACTCTGTGCGACCCCATAGATGGCAGCCCACCAGGCTCCGCCGTCCCTGGGATTCTCCAGGCAAGAACACTGGAGTGGATTGCCATTTCCTTCTCCAATTCGTGAAAGTGAAAAGTGAAAGTGAAGTTGCTCAGTTGTGTCTGACTCTTTGCGACCCCATGGACTGCAGCCTACCAGGCTCCCCTGTCCCTGGGATTCTCCAGGCAAGAGTACTAGAGTGGGGTGCCATTGCCTTCTCCGTCATGTGAATTTTATCTAAAAAAAAAACCCACTCGGGACCACAGCCTGATTCCATCTGTCTGCCACCCGCCCACCCTTTCCTGTCACTTAGGTCATGAGCTCTTCGAGATCCTTCTCAGCCAGCATAGCTGTCCCATGCAAGTGACCAAAGACCTTGCTGGTCAGCGTGCCGAGTGCCCGGGCCAGCCTCAGAGCCGAGCTCCGACACAGCACTGTGCTGCTGCTGGGCTGTGCCTGGCCCTGTGGCCCCCGGAGTGTCCTGGACACAGAGACCCTCTTAAGGCTTTGTGTGGAGTGGGGGGCTGCCTGCTCCTGGGACAGGACACGCATGCAGCGTCCCCACCAGGCTGCCTTGAGCCCAGGGGCACTCAGTGTGCGCTTAGCTTGGAAGCCTGGCATCGGGCGGCCTCACCCACTGAACGCTCTCACCCAAGTCTCGTCCTGGTCACCTCCTGCCGCCCTCAATGGGGAGAAGGAAAGGCAAGTGCCAGCGCTCAGTTGTTGGCCAGGTTTGGGGGATCAGGGGTCCCCTGGGGTCCCCTTCAAGTTGGGTGAACCTGGCCAGGGGTCTCCAGACACAGGATACTCACCGCTGACCCAGCTGACCCCCGACTCCTCCCCGACGGGTCCCAGGAGCCCCTACGAGAAGCACGGCTGCCCACCCAGTCTCCACGCGATGGCCCCGCCGGCTCCATGCTGCAGGGTCCATGCTTACCTGGCTCTTCCACCAATCAGAGCCCACGTGACCCACGGGTGAAACGGTCCTGAGGTGTGAGGCCTGGGCCTTCGGAGCCTGTGTCCAGGGATAACACAGGCCGTCCAGCCCCTGCTCATGGTCTGAGACACTTGGCCACATCGTTCCAAGATGTGTGCAGTGACCTTACAGTTAGTTATTCCCAGCACCACCAGCCTGAGCAGCACACCAGTTCGTACCAAGAGAATGAATAAATGAACCAAGTCCCTGCCCCGCTGACGGCTCACTGAGGACCTGGAGGATGCCTGGGGTGGGCGGCCTACCTGCTGTGGGTGTAGGCCTCCCCTAAGCCCCATAAGACCTGGTTGCAGCCAGCCGCACCCCTGTACCATCCCCCATCCAGGACTCAGACCCCAGACCGGGGCACTAGCCAGCTCTCACCACCTCTGAGCAGCAGAGGGGCCCCATCAGAGCTCTGAAATTCCAGCTGTGGGCACAGATGCTGAGCTGTGTTCTCTCCACGCTCTGCACCCTGTCATTCAGGTGGTGAGCATCTGCTCTTGCTCACAAACCGACACAAGCGGTTGGTTTCCTGCTGCGAAGGAGTGGTTCTTGGCAGGGTTAACCCCTCGCTCCTCGTGGCTGGTGTCCGTGTGCAACAGGCAGAATTAAACACCAGGCATGTGTGTCAGACAGTCGAGCTGTGCCCACCAAGAAGGAGGGGTAAGGGCATGGGTGAGGGGGTACGGTGCCCCGCAGAATTCAGCAGAACACACAGACCAATCACAGGTAAGCAGCACAGACAGGAACGTCCCCTTGGAAGCCTGGCTCTTTCAGACCTCAGCCATTTCATTCCTGGGGTTTGTGCCTCCAACCTGCTGTCGACCCCAGAGCTTGGGATAGGATGTGTGTGTCTCAGGGTGAACGTTTCAGAGGAACTGATGGTGGGCTCCTTGGAGACACAAGTGGGTGGGGGCTCCGGGGTCACAAGACCCAGAACGTCCATCCAGAGGGGGCCTGTTTGCTCAGGATGTGTCTTGGCTCAGGCTCCCACTCTCGAGGCACAGTCCCAGTGGCTGAAGAGTGGGTCATGGGCTCCCCATCCCACCCATTGCACCCTATGGAGGGAAGCAAATTCCAAAGGTAACCGGGGCGTGTGTGTGCTCAGTTAAGTCGTGTCTGACTCTGTGACCCCATGGACTGTAGCCCACCAGGCTCCTCTGTCCACGGGATTCTCCAGGCAAGAACACTGAACTGGGTTGCCTTGCCCTCTTCTAGGCAAGAGACCCAGAGACGGAACCTGGGTCTCCTGTGTCTCCTGCATCACAGTCTAATTCCTTTCTGCTGAGCCACTGGGAACTGGGGTTGAGGTATTGCCAAACGAGGGGAGAAGGGCCCAGGCCCCAAACAAATATCTCTCAGGTCACACTGCCCCAGCACCTTCATCTCTTGGCCACCCGACTTCAGCCAGCAGCCCTAGTCCCTTGCCTCTGCTCCTCCTCAGACCCACCGCAAATCCCATTGGTTCTTCTCTGAAATCAGCCTCAAGTGCATCCAGTCACCATCTTCAGGGCTGCCCCCAGCACAGCTTCCAGCTGACCGGCCTCCATATCTGCCCCGCATCCACTCCACACCAGCAGGAGAGGCCTGTGAAGATGCCATTCCACATGGGCGGCTCCTGGAACCTCGATGGCCCACTCCTACAGAGGGACAGTCACGCTGGACACACCGCCCACAGGGCCACATCCGGGCTGCTTCATGCAGCCTCATGAGGAAGTCTGTTCCCAGCTATCTCTGTGCATGTCTGCATGTGTGCACGTATGTCTGCAATTGCCTGTGTGTGCATGTGCACACGCGTGTGTGGCCGTCTAACCAGTAGGGACAACGGCCCCACGACATTCCGAGGTTTGTGCGTCACCTTCCACTGCAGGTGATGCATGCCGGGGGCAGGCCTGCGCCTTCAGTAGGATCTGCGCCGACGAGGTGAGTGACTGTATCTCCAGGTGGCTGAAGGGAGGAGACTGGACAGGTTCCGAGCGGGACTGTCGCCCACTGCCATCGCTAATGAGGGGCTGGCAACTCGTCTGGACACGTGGTGCACATGCAGGCAAGGAGGGTGAGCTTGTGCAGGTGATGCTCTGTCTGCAGCGGGGGCAGCGGAGGGCAGTGGGGGATGCTGGAAGGCAATCTAGTAGAAGGTGCCTGTTACTCCAGGCTCGGCCCTGGAGGACCCCGGGAGGTCAGTGGGTGGTGATGGTGATAAGTGACACAACAGTCACTGGTCCTGTTTACCACGAGCCGCTGAGCACCAGGCTCTAGCTCCAGTGAGTAGGATCCAGGCCCAAACTCAGGTCTGGCTGCTCCCTCAAGTAATCAGTTAGCCCTTGGACAAGGACACGGGGCCTGACCTCTGGACGAGTCCTCCTGGGCCAGTGAACCTCGGCTTCCAGCCTGGCTGAGCCGTCACATTGGACGGTGGTGCCCGGGCTCCTGAAATGAGGTGGGAGCACCCCCAGGGGCTACACTCTCTGCAAGACCTGAATCCTAACTGCAGGAGTTCAGGAAGGTGGGTCTCGACAAAGCTGAGCCGGGGAACCCCATCCTGGAGGGGCAGACACAGCAGGTATGCAGCCTCATCTCACCGGCTGCTGGGCGATCAGAACCCAAACCCACGTGGTGCAGGCAGTTAGAGGAGAGAGGCAGACCCTCCCGGGGCAAGCGCTGGGCTGCAGCACTGGGAGCTAGGGCCAGGCCGGCAGAGCAGAGATGGGGGGCCCCAGACCCTCGGAGTGAACAGCCGCGGGCTGTGTTAGAACTGTGCTGGCAGGTGGGAGGACACTGTCACCTCCTGACGCCACCAGACACAGAGGTCCCAGCCGAGGGGTCCTGGCCCCTCCACCCCAGACCTGGACACCCTTCCAGGGAGAGTCCGCCTGGCATACACTCCAGCTTCCTGGACAGACGTAGAGGTGGATGGAGCGGTCACACTCACTCGTGTGCATTTACAAAACTTAAAAGGTACAAAGTTTTGCTGTTTTGTTTTTAAACATACAGCTGAAGGAAATCTTGGCAGGTGGGCTCCTCCCCAGGAGACATCACAGGCCCCAGGTGAGTCCTTGGGGGCAGGGAGTGGCGCCAGGTGAGGGAAGTGAGAGGAGAGACCTGACCTGAGACCTGTGTTGGGAAGCTGTGTGGACACGGCCACCCCCCAGTATGTCCAGACCTGGGAGGTCCTGACCTTGTCTCGAGCCCTGTGTGTGATTGCTTCTGGTCAGCAGGTGGTGAGCAAGGTGACCGCATCCCAGAAGGGTGGGCGGTGGGGGCAGCCCCACAGGTGATGAGCAAGATGACCACATCCCAGAAGGGTGGGCGGTGGGGGCAGCCCCGCAGGTGGTAAGCAAGGTGACCGCATCCCAGAAGGGTGGGCGGTGGGGGCAGCCCCGCAGGTGGTAAGCAAGGTGACCGCATCCCAGAAGGGTGGGCGGCGGGAGTGGCCCCGGGCAGCCGGAGCCCACACGTCAGGGGCCTGCAGGTCACACACAGAACAACACACTCGCTGAAGACTGAAGATGGGGAGGTGACACCCACAAGGAAACCCACCCAGGCCCCAGGCTCAGGACCACTACCCGGGAAGGCCTGAACATGCAGCTAGTGCAGCTGCAGAGCTGGGCCTGGGCCCCCGTTGGTCGGGAGGAGGAGGAGACCAGGTGGGCTCACCTGTTCAGTCCTGGCTGCAGGGCAGAGCAGGCCAGCTCCCTTCTGATGGATGGGTGGTCTCAGAGTCCTTGGGGTGTGCAGGTCTGCAGCCCTTGCAGCTAGAATCCAGCAATGCGGGTTCAGCAGGACCCCTGGCGCCCCCTTCTACTCAGCACTCAGACAGCAAGGCACTCCTTCAAAGCACCGTCAGGAAGATCTAACTGCATTTTCTGAAGAATTAGGGTTTCAAAAGCTTAATTTTAGTAGTTTTTATTTCCATGTTATACTCATTATACTTTGTTTTTTGTAAGTTATCAGTCATCATTTGCAATTTTACTTGTACTAAGTACCTTTGAATATCTTAGAGCAACACTTCTTGAAAACACAGAAAAGTATTTTGTTTGTTTCTTACACTTTAAAAAGTATTTCTTTCTTTCTTTGGCTACATCGGGTCTTCATGCAGCATGTAGGATCTTCCGTTGTGGTGCACGGACTCTCGCTGTGGTTCAGGTTCAGTCAGTTCGATCACTCAGTCACGTCCCACTCTTTGAGGCCCCCCGGACGGCAGCACACCAGGCTTCCCTGTCCTTCACCAACTCCTGGAGCTGCGTGAGGGCTTAGTTACTCCAAGGCATGTGGGGTCTTAATTCCCTGACCAGGGATTGGACTCATGTCTCCAATATTACAAGGGGTATTCTTAATCACTGGACCACCGGGGAAGTCCCTTGTTTTCTATTTAACTTTATTTTTTTGATGGAAATATATTCAAGTTTTGTAAACTTTGAATACAATTACAGCTTTTAAAGATACTGTAGAGCAACACTGTTAACAGACACCAATTTAATGCAAATTGAATATAATGTAATTAGTGATTCCTTCAAATGAGGGTAAGGAATATAAATTTTACAAGATAAATGTACAACAATGAGTGACTAACACATCTGTCCTTGTTACATGTCTGATGCCACCGGGTCATCAACAGAGGCCCAGACCTGAGTGGCCACAACTGAGTTTTCATACTTCGCTATTGGCTGTGGACCCGCCAGAGATATCTTCGCTGAGACGGGGACAGACCTCTCATTTCAGTTTGTTGTTGTGTCTTTGTTCTTTCCATGTACAGGACCCCCCCTCCACAACACTCTGGCTCTGAGCCCCCTCCCTTCCTGGAGGGGCCCATGCAGGTGAGGAGCCGATGGATGGGGACAGGGACAGGGCTCGAGGAGCAGGCACACCCCTCCTGGCCATCCTGGAGCCCCACGGCCATCTGAGTACAGCATGAGCGGCTGCCAAGGCCAGATCTGCCGACCCCACTGGATCCCCACCAGAGGACGACCCTGGCTGGTGCGCTGGACAGAGGGGCCAGCCAGTGCCCACGGGCTGCAGGCACGAGCTGGTCTCGATCACTGCAGCCGCCTGGGGCATGACGACAGCAGCGGTCAGAGACCTCCTTTGCCACCTATGGTTGTCAGGTGGCAGCAGGCGGGCAGTGGGGGTTGGAAGGGGGGATCCAAGTCCTTCGATGAGGCTGGGGCCCCTCCCCCACAGCGGGCAGCTGTCTGCCCCGCGGTGATGATCACCTGGAGCCAGGCGTGTGCAGGCTGGCAAATCACAGGTGATTCATGTGGCTAATTTATTTATGACAATCAGGCTAAATTTAGGTTAATTACTTTTTAATCATTCTCTCGAGGGTACATGAAAATACTTGAAGCCAACCCACAAGCGCAGAGTGCTGCCGGGTACAGGCACTATCTGATGGAGAGGATGCCAGCCGGCGGGGACTCGGAGCGGGGCGGGCCTCTGCCCTGTCGTGAGGGGACTGGGGGCCCCTCGCGGAGAATCCAGGCACTTAGACGTGAATGTGTGCTCCAGCACTGTCTGCCTGCCCAGCTGTGCAGCCCCTCCCATGAGAAGCCTGGACGCCGTCCCCATAGTGGGGCTCCCACCCCTGCTCCTCTGTCCTGGCCCCTCATCCCACCACCCTTTTCCACTCAGCCCCACAACTGAACTTTCCAGAAGGTCAACCTAAAAAACCCTGGGGTGCAGAGCCCCGCAGTCTCCCAGAATCCCCCACAGTGGGACTCAAAACCCTGATTTAGAACATGCTGATGCTCCCCTCACCCCATCCTGCCCCTTTTCCTGGCTCCCGCCCTTGAGACTTCAGCCTCCCCTGACCCCCACCCCTAGCCAGAGCCCTCCTCTGGGCCACCTGCTGGCTCAGCCATCACTCTGGAATTTCTGGCCCCTCCAGCTGACCAGGAGTGGGCAGCGGGGAGGGGCGTCTGCCTCCCCCTGCAGAGGAGCTGGGGGAGCATAGACAGACAGACAGCACCAGCCTCAGCTGGCTCTTCCCACCATCAACTCAGACCCTCCAGCAGCTGAGGTGCCCCCGCTGCCCCATAGCCTCTCACCTTGCTCTCCACACCCTCCTCCTTGTGGCCGGAAACGCTGTCCTGCTCCCATGGCCACAACTCCTGGGGGGTCTGCCCACAGACAGCGGACACCCTCATGCCCAGAGTCTGCTGCCCACCACCCCGACGGCCCACAGGCCTGCACACAGCACGGCGGCCTTGCCGGGTCTGGGGTTCTCGTTCTTGCTGCTCTGCGTCTTCAGATGGACCTGACACCAAGGTCCACGTGAGGCCCCGACACAGAGTGTGGGCTACACAAAGGATGCTAAAGCCACAAATAATGTGAAATATTTAAATATTATAATAACCTCCTGGTGTCCGGGGAGAGAGAACTTAGCACAGAAAAGTGAAGGGAGCAAGGATGGCGGACAACCGCTCCACTCAGGAAAACACTCTAAAACTGTGACACCCAACAGGACAAACTTAAAGGGGGCCCAGGCTGGACATACCCTGGTGTGAGAACCAAAGATGGAGGTCGGAGCCTGGAAGCCATCAGGACGAGGAGAATTTGGGGGACAGCAATTCCAGCCTCGAGGATTCCTCACTGGATACAGAGGCCAACAGGTAGTGAGACAATGCATCTAGTGTGAATCCCACATGGAGTGCAATGTCTCCAGGAACACAGGCAAAAACAACAGGCTTCCATGAAAGAAAAGAGGATGTAGCGACCACAGTAAGTTCTCAAGGCAATTGTCAACAGGGGGACGAGGCCCCACAGGCAGGGGAAGAAAACAGTGAGCAACTCAACAAGTGTAATATGCTGCTTGCCTCCTTCAAAAGTCGGCTTAAAACTCAACATTCAGAAAACCAAGATCATGGCATCCGGTCCCATCACCTCATGGCAAACAGATGGAGAAACAATGGAAACAGTGACAGACTTTTTTGGGGGGCTCCAAAATCACTGCAGATGGTGACTGCAGCCATGAAATTAAAAGATGCTTTTTTATCATTTTAATTTTTAATTTTTTTAAACCTATTATATTTTTCCTACATTTATTCCTTTGTTTGTCTTTCCTACTGTTCTTTTCCCCTTGCAGTTAATCTTTAATGTATATAAATCTTCTTCATCTACCTCTATGCAACTTTCCACATCTATTCTTTCTTTCCTTTCTTCCCTCCGAACATATTTGTTACTTTTGTTTCCACTGCTTTATTCCCCAATTGCCATCTTGCTTTAGTTTTGCTTTCCAGTTTGTGCTTTAGTTAGTTTTGTTCTTAAATGGTAAATATAATTTTTGATTTCTTTTGTTTTCCAGGTCAATCTACTGTACTTAATTTCTTGAACTGTTTTGACTTTGCTCATGGGTGTATGTGTATATGTATCTATTCCTTTAATTATTATTTGCCTGATTTTGTAACTGGCATTTGCCTGGGATTCATCTTTGGTTTCTCATTTGGGGATATTTGTTTTAATCTCACTTAATGCCATAACAAACCACTTGTGGAATCTTTGTTCCTAACCAGACATCAAGCCCTGAGCCTTTGGAGTGGGAGCACTGACTCCAAGACCGTCGACTACCAGAGAACTAACCCTAGGGAGTATCAGATAGTGAGAACTCACACAGAGGAAACCACTTGAATACAAGACCCGGCATCACCCAACCACCAGTAGCACCCTGCGCAGGACGCCTCATCTAAACAACAAACAAAAAAAATGCAAACCCAATCCTCAGCAGACAGGATTACACCTCACTCAGCCCTGCCCATCAGAGGAAAAACAAAAACTCAGCACAGATCCCACCCTATGCGAAGCTTACACAAACCACTGGACCAACCTTAGAGAGCAGAAACCAAGAGGAAGAAAGACTCCGACCTTGAAGCCTGGGAAAAGGAGACCTCAAACACGTTAAGTTTAAAAAACAATAATGAAAAGGCAGAGAAATTCTACATAAATGAAGGAACAAACGAGAAACCCAGAAGTTCAAATAAATGAAGAGGAAATAGGCAAACTTCCTGAAAAAGAATTCAGCATAATGATAGCAAAGATGATCAAATCCTTGAAAACAAAATGGAGAAAATGCAAGAATCAATTAACAAAGACCTAGAAGAATTAAAGAATAAACATACAGAGACAAACAACACAATTACTGAAATTAAAAATACTCTAGAAGGAATCAATAGCAGAATATCTGAAGCAGAAGAACGAATCAGTGAGCTAGAAGATGAAATGGTGGAAATAACTTCTGAAGAGCCGAATAAAGTAAAAGAATTAAAAGAACTGAGGATAGTCCCAGAAGAAACATACTAGACACACACTAATCAAACTAACAAAGACTAATCACAAAGAAAGAATATTGAAAGCAAGGGAGAAGCAACAAGTAAGATACTAGGGAAATCCCATACCCTTAACAGTTGATCTTTCAGCAGAAACTCTGCAGGCCAGAAGGGAATGGCAGGATATATTTAAAGTACTGAAAAGGAAAAATCTACAACCAAGATTACTATACTCAGCAAGGATCTCATTCAAAATTGATGGAGAAAGAAAAAGCTTTTCAGACAAGCAAAAGTTAAGAAAATTCAGTACCACCAAACCAGCTTTACAACAAATGTCAAAGGGACTTATATAGTCAAGAAATACAAGAGATGAAAAAAGATCTACAAAATCAACCCCAAACAATTAAGAAACTGGCAACAGGAACATATATATCAATAATTACTTTAAATGTAAATGGATTAAATGCTCCAACCAAAAGACACAGACTGGCTGAATGGATACAAAAACAAGAGCCATATATATGCTGTCTACAAGAAACCCACTTCAGACCTAAAGACACATATAGACTGAAAGTGAGAGGATGGAAAAATATACTCCATGCAAATGGGAAGCAAAAGAAATCTGGAATAGCAATCCTCATATCAGGCACAATAAACCTTAAAATAAAGATTTCAAGAGATAAGGAAGGACACTACAGAATGATCAAGGGATCAACCCAAGAGGAAGACATAACAATTATAAATATCTATGCACCCAACATAGAAGCACCTCAATACATAAGTCAAACACTAACAGACATAAAAGGAGAAATGAACAGTAACACAGTAATAGTAGGAGACTTTAACACCCAACTCACACCAACGGACAGATCATCAAAACAGAAAATTAATAAGGAAACACAAGTCTTAAATGATGCATTAGATGACATGGGTCTCATTGATATCTTCAGGACATTCCATCCAAATGCAGAAGAATACACCTTCTTCTCAAGTGCACATGGGACATTCTCCAGGAGAGACCACATCTTGGGTCACAAATCAAACCTCAGTAAATTTAAGAAAACTAAAATCATATCAAGCATCTTCTCCAACCACAACACTATGAGACTAGATATCAATTATAAGAAAAAAACTGTAAGAAACACAAACACATGGAGATTAAACAACACGTTTCTAAATAACCAACAGGTTACTGAAGAAATCGAAAGGGAAATAAAAAAATTTCTAGAAACAAATAATGAAAACACAACAACTCAAAACCTATGGGATGCAGCAAAAGCAGTTTTAAGAGGAAAGTTTACAGCAACAAAATCCTACCTCAAGAAACAAGAAAAACATTGAATAGACAACCTAACTTTACACCTAAAACAACTGGAAAAAGGAGAACAAAAAACCCCCAAAATTAGAAGGAAAAAAATCATAAAGATTCGAGCAGAAATAAATGAAAAAGAAACAAAAGAAACAGTAAAGATTAATAAAACTAAAAGCTAGTTCTTTCAGAAGATAAACAAAATTGACAAACCTTTAGCCAGACTCATCAAGAAAAAAAGAAAGAAGAATCAAATCAACAAAATGAGAAATGAAAAAGAGGTTACAATAGACAATGCAGAAATACAAAGGATTATAAGAGACTATTATGAGCAACTATATGGCAATAAAATGGATAACCTAGAAGAAATGGACAGATTCTTAGAAAAGTTCAATCTTCCAAGACTGAACCACGAAGAAACAGAAATTATGAGCAACCCAATTACAAGCACTGAAATTGAAGCTGTGATCAAACATCTCCCAAAAAACAAAAGCCCAGGACCAGATGGCTTCACAAGAGAACTCTATCTAACATTTACAGAAGAGCTAATGCCTATCCTTCTAGAACTCTTTCAAAAAAATTGCAGAGGAAGGAACACTTCCAAACTCATTCTACGAGGTCACCATCACCCTGATACCAAAACCAGACAAAGACAACACACAAAAAGAAAACTACAGGCCAGTATCACTGATGAACATAGATGCAAAATTCCCCAACAAAATTTTAGCAAAGGAATTCAGCAACACTTCAAAAAGCTCATACACCATACACCAAGTTGGGTTTATTCCAGGAATGCAAGGATTCTTCAATATATGAAAATCAATCAATGTGATACACCATGTTAACAAATTGAAAGATGAAAACCATATGACAATCTCAACAGATGCAGAAAGAGCCTTTGACAAAATTCAGCACCAATTTATGATTAAAACTCTTCAAAAAATGGGCATAGAAGGAACCTACCTCAACACAGTAAAGGTCATATATGATAAGCCTACAGCAAACATTATTCTCAATGGTGAAAAACAGAAAGCATTCTCCCTAAGATCAGGAACAAGACAAGAGTGTCCACTTTCACCACTATTATTCAGCATAGTTTTGGAAGTCCTAGCTATAGCAATCAGAGAAGAAAAAGAAATAAAAGGAATCCAAATCAGAAAAGAAGAAGTAAAGCTCTCACTGTTTGCAGATGACATAATACTGTACATAAAAAACCCTAAAGATAGTATCAGAAAATTACTAGACCTAGTCAGTGAATTTAGCAAAGTTGCAGGATACAAAACCAATACACAGAAATCACTTGTATTTCTATATATTAACAATGAAAAGTCAGAAAGAGAAATTAAGGGATCAATCCCATTCACCATTGCAACAAAAATAATTAAATATATAGGAATAAACTTATCAAAGGAGACAAAAGAACTGTATACAGAAAATTATAAGACACTAATGAAAGAAATCAAAGATGATATAAACATGGAGAGATATTCCATGTTCCTGGGTAGGAAGAATTAATATTGTGAAAATGACTATACTACCAAATGCAATCTGTAGATTCTAGGTGATCCCTATCAAATTACCAATGGCATTGTTCACAGATCTAGAACAAAAAATTTCACATTTCATATGGAAACACAAAATACCCCGAATAGCCAAGGCAGTCTTGAGAAAGAAGAATGGAGATGGAGGAGTCAGCCTTTCTGACTTCAGGTTACACTACAAAGCTACAGTCATCAAGACAG